GGGTTACCAACCAATCATCATCGTCCATAAAATACAGCAGTTATTGCATACTTCGTATGCAATAACTATATAGTATTCACTAAGAATAATTCAAAGAGATATTGGGTACCAAAGTTAGGCACTTCCCCATTCGGATCGATGCCTTATATATTTATTAATAATATAATCTGTGTCACTAATTATTAGACTTTCTTATCATTCATGCATCAATGTTTTAGACTTTTAATTACATTGTGATCACTCGATATTATGATATTATGCATTAGATCACGACGTTCGATCAACACGTGCTCATAGCACAAGTCACATGGGTATCATGCAGAACCGTGACAATAAAAAATTCGAAAAATCGTTACTTATAAAACTCCATTAATCTCAAATTTTGATATTCATGATCCTTTCATTAAACAGCAATTGCCACCTACTATGTTTTGCGAAAAAGGTGGTTGGCATTGGAAGTTCTAAGATTTTATTTCCGAGTAAATCATGGAGCGTGACAAGTCTTTGGTAACATATTTGTCGATACTTTTTTAAATACTCTTTATTACCAGGATTACAATTAATAATATATCCTTCTAAAAGAAGAAACTTGAACCTTTTAAGTTTAACTTCATCTTTCGTAATGCTTCTGTCCTTTTTTATGAGCGTTCCTGCTCTTTCCTTGAACCAGGTTTCTAGAAAGCTTTTAATGAATTCGCTTTTGTTGTTACTATTATTATAATCATTCTTAATATCATTCAAATCTCTTTTTTCTAGTTCTGTAGGCTTAATTTCATTAAGTATTCTTTCGCATGTTTTTATATCAGATTCTTCGTAATCGGTTTGCCACAGGTTGGTGTCGATTTCATTATTTTCTACTTTTTTTAATAAGTTTGAAGCCTCGGATTCCTAGTTCATCATTCTTCAAAACAATTAAATTTTAAATTCTAGACACAATAGTATTATTATTTTAATTTAAACTTACTAGTTTTTTTCTTTTTACCAGACTATTAAAGAAATTGAAAAGATTTATAGCAGTGATTTTTGACTAAAAAATTTAATTATTTTAGCTATTGAGCAAAAGTATACTTTGTAGTTCGCAAATAATACAGATAAATTTTGATAAATGACTTACATCAGCTTTACTCAATTCAATTTCTTTTAATTGATCTTGAAAATAAATTTTTGTTTTAATTACAAACATGTTGCAGTGTGAAAGTGTAATCTTGATCCAAATTGGGAAAATCAGAGATATGGATATCAACTAATACTAACTAATCCAAATCAACACTCTAAAACCACTAAACTCTACCAAACCCTAATAGTGGTAGGCACAAAAGAAGGCATAGAAAGACTTGGTCTGAGTTATTAGGGCAAAATAGAGTTCTATATTACATCACGAGGCTCTAATTCAGGATCACGGGATTAAACTACTAATTCTATACAGATTTGACTTGTTGGGGTAATGTTTAAGTTTAGGATGATAGACTCTCCATGAGTCAAACTATATGAGTTATGCCAACTCTGAGTTTTTTTTTATTGAAGAGGAGCATAATGCTCTTATATACTTAAATTTACAGACTAAAAAGTGAGTGAATCACTCTTTTCGCTCACTTTGCTTACTTCCCTTACTTCCCTTACTTCTCTCACTTCGTTTACTTCGCTTACTTCTCTCACTTCGCTTACTTTGCTTACTTTGCTAGCTATAAAAGGAAATCCCAATTATCATAACTAAAAATATACACAGAATAAAGAATATAAACTAAAAATAGAAATATGTGGCTTAGCATAGCCTAATTTCAGATAAGGTAAAACCAATTTACACCATCACAGCAGTCATTATGAATAACATTTAGCAATTTATATTATTATCTTGTTGTTTGAATTTATTGTGAACAATATTTGAATCACATAAATTTTATACTTTTTCAATATTCAAAAAGTAGGCAATCGTCTTTCTTAGTAATAAAGAATATACCATAAAAAGAGGCTGTTTATATTGAAAATAGTAACTTATTTTAAAAGTAATGCTTACATATGAGATTAAAATAGGCTCATTTTGTTTACAAGAGACTGGTCATTCAAGTTAATCACAACATTCGAGAATATAATTACATGTTTAACCATATAATTCAAAATTGTTACATGATGCATGTGAGAAGTCTTCAATCAAACTTGATTCAGTGCTTGTTCTAGCCATTTGGAAACAGAGTATAGATCTTTGATTAGTAAAATTTCTTAATTTCATTAATTTCCTGAATTGCGAAGAAGAATTGGTCGATAATTACAAGATCTTTCTAATGAATTTTGGTAATTTTAGGAATTAATTTTTTTTTTAAAAAAAAAGTGACTTCAACTTTATAATACGTTCTTTATAGCTTCCATGAGTAAAAATGATTTTATCAATGTACCTTTTGTATCTTGTGGAGGCTAAGAGGTTAGCTTTAAATAATCAATTTTCATTCTCATATTAAATATTTTGAGCTATTAAAAATAGCCTATATTACAGTCTCACTTATCTTTTTCGGTCTAACATTGTAATATCAACCTCAAAAGGTTTTAATATTATGAATATTTAATCAATTGTAGCAAATTAATAATTTTTAGATTGGAGAATTTATATAAGTATACCTGAACTTTAATTATGAGTGCCGGTGTAATATTCATATTACAAATCTTTAACACCATATGAAATGCTATCAATATCCAAACAAATAATTTTAATTAGGCCTACGCGAACTTACCCACTTTAGTTAAATAAAATGCGTATCAGGAATGCATAATCCTATGCATACCAAACCAATAGGAAATTGATTATATTGACATTAGATAGATATACATGGTTACTATAAAGGAATAAGAGAATTAAAAAGTAAATATGATTTTTACACTAGTATGACTTTCTCATACTGTAATTATGATATTTATCATTATCAATTAATAGTATTATTTTTATGTAGGCTTATCATATTTGATTTTCCTGAGTTTGAATTTCACTCAAGTGTGTTTATCATGTCATAATATTTTAGTTATAAAAAAGTATCAAACTTCCAAATCATTTATGCATCGCAAAAAGTTTAAATAATATTTTATTTTAATAAATATTAACACAATTTTGCCAATTTGCCTTAATGGAATTATCAAAGTAATTTGTGAGAATAAATACTATGATGCTAAAAAAATATTACTGTTCACTTGTCCAATGCTAAACATATCATTTAACAAATTCAGAATATTAAAGCCAATATTTAAACCTTTAATAATCTTTTTAAATAAAAGATTTTATGTACAGTACATTAGTGATGTTATATTTATGAAGCACCACCTTTTCAAATATTATACGCTACTTGTAGCTGATTCCTTCATTATCTTACAAGTTAATGGTGAAGCCACGGGAATTTTATAAAAATTTTAAAATCATAATAAGAAGGACTTAAATAGACATCACATGCTGTGATGTGCTTATACATTGCCTTTTAACAATTGACCAATTAAATTTGAAGATCAGGTGTAACGTGCAAATTAATTTTGTGTAACAAAAATAAAGAAATTTTTTAAAATTTCGAAATGCCATCTATGAAACTGCCTTTTGAGCTCTAACAAAAAAAATTCCTCGCAAAATTTTGGTATATACTAACTCTACCCTAACAGCTAACCCTAACCCTAACCTAATCTAGTATTAATTTTTTGGCATATATAAATTTGTTGTAACACAGATCTACAAATTATAATTTAAATATACATGCGATAAATTAGCACATCGCATAGTGCGATGTATATATTTATCCTAATAAGAATCTATGAATTCATTTATTTTACGGTGAATTTATAATCCTAATTATGTTGTAAATAAATATAAATGTCAAATAAATAAATGAGAAATAAAAAACAAATTAAATAGATAGTTAATATTAATTATTAATCTATCAAATCTATTTCTGCAATATAGATATAATAGATTATGTTTTCAAACTTGATAACCGTTTAATACTGATATAAAACCTTTACCATATATATTGGTTTTGAAAGGTTTGACATTACAAAACCTACCCACCATACGACTTTACTAATGAAACATATATGTTTCAAAATGATATTAATACTTTAATTACATTACATGTACGTATTGTAGCAAATTGAACTTGCATACTAAGAAAATAAATTTTAATACTATTAAAACTTTAAATAAAATAGTGCACTTACGAAAAGCGCTTGGTAAATTCATAGTCCATGTACATTTTCGAATCTGTAGAAGCATCTTTAAATATCAAAAAGTTGAGCAATATATAAGATATTGTTTAAATATTTAAAAATTTAATCACGATAAAATTTAATTGAAGATATTTGACTTTTGTGATGATAGGATGTTTCGAATTTTAAAGATTTGTTATTTTTCTTAAAATGCAACTTCAATTTGCTGTATTTTACTATGTGACAAATATTTACAGCAGCGTTTTTTCATAGTAGCTATCTCGAATTTTCTCGCCAAACAAGTTGTTTGATCGTCTAGTTCCTATCATTTCCTATATACCAGATACATAACACTTAGTGTTCCAAGCCAATTAAGTTAGCCGCTTAGCTAGCTGATAGTCTAATTGGCCGGTTAATAACAGCTAATATTAATTACAAAATTCAAAGTTGTATATAACTATAGTATTAAAAAAAAACCTATTACCAAGCCTAAATCTCTGTTATATTTATACGTCGAATTTAAAATTTTGCATTAGATCAAAATAATTATAATGCCACTAATAAATTACCCAATTTAGCGTATAACATATATAAGCTTTGGTAACAAATCTTTATTCGATTGAATACTTATTTATTTCCAAGAATTTAATTGGTAATTTAAAATTCTATAGTTTAAAACAGTCAGAATATTTAAAGTAAACCCGAATCTAAAAAGCCACTTATTTTGAATGAACTATACTATATACGTAGACATCCTATAATTCAGTATAATTACTTGTTATTGGCTAAGCCGCTAAGCCATTAAATATAATGGCTTAGCCTGCCGTAAAAATTTAATCGGCTTGGTTCACTATTTAATCTTAACTAAGCCAAATTTTATAAGATCAACTGACTTAGATGAGTAGATTTTACGACTAAAATCACTACTGTTATCCTTTAATGTGTACGTTACGTAGTTTATTTTTTTTTCTGATAGGAACCATTTTATTTTAATTTATTTTTTCCTTGTTCCCTTGCTTATAAATCAGTTTTGAATTTAATTTTCATTCTATACCAATGCCAATCATTAATTATACCATATAATGGCTTTAAAATGATAATGAGAATTTAGTATCTGGATCTTTGTTTCTTCTGTTACATTTTTATCATAGAAAAAGCTTATTTGACATCTGCCTTATTTCCCAAATTTTTATCATCCTTTTTTGTCCAATTAAAATTTCTATTGAACTTCGTCCCTTATATATAGTAGATAATATCATTTTTTACAAAGCAATCTCCGTAATTATGAGTTTGAATGCATAAAGCTGGCATTAAATTGACGTTGATGAATGGAATCTAGTCGCGCCACTTAAGTAACTTAAAGGTTATCAATTCTGAAAGACTTGACCAATCAAACAATACCTTGCAGATAATTAGTCTTCAAATATATGGGACCCCCACAGCAAAAGGAGGCAGTGGGCAAAAAAATAATAATTTTTTTAAACTCAATTTCTTGAAGAATTAAAGTATTAAAAATACAATTTTTATAAAATTACAAAATCAAAATTTTTTGCCCACTGCCTCCTTTTGCTGTGGGGGTTCTCATATATTAATTGTACCAACTAGATGGGCGTGTGTTATTTCTCAAAATATTTATTCAAGAGTACAATACAATGTTTTTTTTTGCTTTTTTTTTGTTTTTCGATTCATCGAGAAGTTACAAGTTTGGATTACTTTAGATTATACCATACTACATATGACTTAATTGGTAAATTTCTGTTTTATTACATTAAAGTGCAAAAATTACTTTTTTGATACGCAATATAAGTCAATTAAAGAATTAATCAAAAACATAACTATTGATGTAGTTTTTGTATCACTTTGATAAACATTAGATACACTCTGGACAATTAAATATCTATTTTATTTAGAGCATGAATATCGTTTCCTTGTTGTAATAAAAAAAATGTATCCTAAACAACTTCGTGAACTTGGTTACAATTATGAAGACGGCGTTGGTTTTAAGAAAGATGAAAAGAAAGATTTTGAATACTGCAGTATATGAAAGCAGCTGAGTTTGGAAATTCGGATGCAATGAATGATGTTAACCTTTACTATTATTATGGAATTGGAGTTGAAATAAATTACCAGAAGTCATTTGAATATTTTAAGAATCCGCTGATTCAGGTAATGATGAAGGAATGTGTAACGTCAGTTTCATTAAGATAATAGAAGTGGGGTGGATCAAGATTTTAATAAAGCATTTGAATAGTAAAAAAAAACCGAGTAGAGTATCGTAAAATCTTGCTAGTTATTATTGAAATGGGATTGTACAAAGAAAGATATTCAGAGTGCAAATTATTGGTTTGCAAAATATAGAAGTCTTTGAAAACTAATAATCACCAGATCATATTAATAAGAGAATATTAGATTGTATTTTCTTGGATTAATAATAATGAATTAAGAAACATCCAGAAAAAGGGAAAAGGAGGATTTGCAACTGTATATTATGCATGTTGGTTCGATAGAGTTAATGGTATTTGGAATAATGTTTACTCAAAGTGATTCATGGTTCAAATAAAAATATGCAAGGATTTGTCCAGTAATCAAAAAACTACTGTAAAATTGGTTATAAGAATCCTTCATTCTTGGAATGTCTTAGAATATCAAGAATTAATCATGGTGATTATATGATTGTTTTGGATTAGCAGCAAAAGATTCGTTAGACAAAATTTTGTGCAAGTATCACAGTTGGAATGGAAAGATAAACTGAATCTCTTGCACTGTATAGCTTTGGATCTCAAGTCAATTCATTCGCAAGAACTTGCTCACAGAGATTTACACAGTGGAAATATGTTACAATTTTTTGCTCTGCATAGTGCATATATTACAGATCTTGGACTTTCAAGAA